GAGAAAAAGAAGAGAGAGGGAGAGAGAGAGAGAGAGAGAGAGACAAAGAGAGAAAGGGAGAGACAGAAGGCACGGATAAAGGGGAAACGTAGCAAAGGTTATTTGCACCGAGTTGTCTTTTTTCAGTGCTTTTTGTTCGAACAGTTTGTCGAACGGCTCAGCCGGCTGATCTTCGGGATGATGAGCATGAACTACATTCTATATAAAATCCGGCAGCGCTTCTCTCGAGCGCCAAAGCACGAATGCGCTTTCGTTCGCATCGATCGTTTAACGAGAGTCGTCCTTAAGCGTCTGTGCAAGAAGAGATTTCGGGAACGACTTTGGCGCCCGCAGAAAAGGGATGACCTCCCGAATATCCGGGGCTGATCTCCCCCGTCGAGATCCTTGGAAGATTGCATGAGCGCACCGAGGTTATAATTCGTGACTTAATTCCGTGTCGAGAGGTCTGTCGTCGCTTTGTTTAATTCTCGGTATACATTCAATTTATGAGTCTCGTTAAACACATATTTACGTTTATTCCTATACTGTTGCTAATCAAATTGTTGGATTCATGAATTTGATGTTTGTACGTGTACTGTTTTCGGTATAATATAAACGAGTGATTTTGATTCGTTAATTAAGTACGATATATATGCGTTGTATTTTGAAATCTGCTGCTGAAAACGTTTGGCTGCTCATCTGCCGACAGAATTTCAGTCACAAATGGAATTCGCTGAGAATAATCCGCAGCTGCGAGCGTTTGTCTCGTTCAATAACGAGGATAATAATCTTTAAGTGCCGTCTTATATTAATTGAAACCGGCGTAGCGAGTGCACAAGATAACAAAGGTGCGAACGCCTGTCTGTTTTGGCGTTACAAGCAGGATAAGCTACGATAAATATAAATAGATAGCAGGTCAATTTTCTTTGTCTCGATGAAGTACCCGTTAAAATTAGAGAAAATTGGAGAAAATTTTGCGATGCGTTACACAAATATAGATCACGTTAATGTAATCTTAATGTTGCCGCAAATACTTTGGCCATGAAATTTTACGAGTAAAAAATGGCAGTAGAATTGCTGCCGATTAATTAATTAATCGTGTCAAACTGGGATCGGTGGTTCTTATTTTAATGCTGTGTAATACCTGTAATACCATTATCGATTTGATGCAGATCTCTTAATGCTACCGGGAGTAGATTACGGTTTAAAAACTGCGCGAGCGTTTTATGCGCCTTATCGCGTAATTTGAGTTAAAACCGGCAATAAATCTGTTAATCTTTCCATGCATATTGCCCTGTTGTTTGCAGAAATAATTTTAGCGTTTCATCAATTATAAACAAAAAATAAATGATTGTGGAAAATTACTATCTCTTTTTTCTTCTTTTTTTCACTTATATTTTCAATGTTGAAAAATAATTCGCCTACAAAGTATCTATCTTACCTTACTATCAACATAATTAGACTGAATTATATTTGTGTTATAAGTTCAAACAGTTTCTCTAGTAATTATTCTTTTCAAACAAATAAATTTGTAGACAATCTTTTTGTTATAAAGTAAAATGAAACAAATAAAGTATATTTCTTTTGTCAATTTCTACCTTTACTCTACCATAGTGAAAGTATATGAATATTTGCTCTATGTACACATGTCGTTGATTTTTCCTCCCCATTTCGCATCTTTGCGCAAATTCAAGAGAGGACATCAAACATTCTGCGGCGAACCACTCTTCACACACACACACACACACATACATACACGACACTATTTACGTTAGCGCCACGTGTGTCCGGAATCGCTAATTCCCACGAGCTGCAAACGAGAGATGGAAAGAGAGCGAAACACTGGTATATGACGCCGATATTTTAGTCTGTCAAAAGAGATGCGTCCGTCTCGTCATTTTCGTGAAATCGATGGCACGCGCAGGTGCAAGATCGGCGAAATCGTTGCGGCGCCTCGTGACAATACGAGCGTAGTCCCGATTTGTCAATGAGGAAAATTGGCGTAAGAGCGCATGAATGAGCCCGGGTAGTGAATAAAGTGGCCGCGGCGTTAGTATAGGTTTATGGAAGCAAGCCGGTTTTAGCTACGCTAATAGCATAGTAATGCTGGCTGATCTTTTCGAAATCCCGTAAGAGCATTAACCGCTCGCACGTGAGCAAGTTAAATTGCTATGTTGCGGGTATACCGCGGGTATGTAGCTATCACCTGGCTACAGAGCGCGTCAAAAGGAAGGGTGGAGGATCGCCGACGGATCGGGGGCTCGGGACCCGCCGTCGGGGAGAAAAATTATTCGCGCTGGCGTCTTCAAGCGGTAACGAGATTAAATCATTGAGTTCTAGCGCGAGAGGACCGAGCGTCAAAGGGCCGAAGGATCCCCGGTCGTCGAGATTATTATCGCGCGTGCCATAGGGTTTTGAGACAGGCTGTAATGTGATTTTCGATAACCTGCTAATAAGACGCGATCTGTATTCCGTGGGCATGCGCTTAATGTTACGATGGACGGAAATTATAGCGCGTGATTATTATATATTCTCGTGCCTTACAAACATAACGTAACACGAACATTTATATAACAATATGTCATATTTTTTTTTTATATTAAATTCTTATCTATTTTTTATAAGGATTTGATATCATTTTTTCACCTCTATTGAATGTTAAAAATTATAATTTGTTTACGTAAGCGAAGTAGATGCGATTGAATGGATTAATGAAGTTTATGGACGATTATAGCTTTGATAACAATAAAATTTTCCCTTGCAAATAAGAAGAAGAATAGAAAAATGATGAAGCATTTTACATTAATATTTTAATAATGCTATCACTAATATTTCTCTTTTCTTTAACAGCAATCAAATTTTTCTTTGTGTCTAGATCTATCACTTTTGCAAATATAAGTAAAATATATATACAAAAATTTGTTTGTAATGTATGTGATTGAATCAATTTTTTCTCTCTATATATATCTCGCAAAAAAAATTTTAATCCCGACAAATAATCGCGAACGGTAGTCAATTGCTCTCTCGCCAAGAAGTGCCAAAACATGCTTGCTCTTAACATAGCAAAGTAATGGCTAGCAAGAGAGCACAGAAAGAGAGAGAAAGAGAGAGAGACTCTTACCTATTTTCCCGTAATCTATTCGTACTCTCTTTCGAGCGAAAAAGATATATCGCGGACGCAAGCAAAGTCCGCGTTGCGTGGCGAAAAAGGGATAGGGAAGAACGGGAGAGGATAGGACTCCAGGTTTGAGTATATTTTTAGAGACGGATTGTACGTAACGCCGTTGTCACACGGCGTTGCCATCGCGGCTGGTGAGGTCGGCGTACCCCCAAGCTACCATTGGATCCCCGCCATGCAGTTGCAGGGATGTTGGTACTGCCTCTGCCACGCCAATTCTGGAACGAGTCGACGCGGTTCGACACGACGCACGTTGTTCCTTCTCCCTTCATTCCGTGGCGCAGAATCGATTTCCGTCTCTCTTTCTTTCATCTCTTTCATATTCCCCTCTCTTTCTCGCACCCACTTCTTTACTCCCGCTTTTCCATCCTTATCCCCTCTCGTCGCAGAGCGCGCGCGCGTCTCTCCCTCTCTTCACGTCGCCTTGTCAGTCGCATTTCCCTTCTCTCGCTTCCGCATTCGTCTTTCTCGTACCGTTGCGGCAATATCTCTGTCATTTTGCGACCGCGTCGCGCACCCCATCCCTTCTCCATGCCTTTCGACGCCGGCGTCCCTCCCCCGCCGGCGGCCGGCGCACGAGCGTCCCCCTCGCGCATAACCCCTCGACCAAGAGAGCGATCCGTAACAACTAAAGTTCTCGTGAAAAGTTGAGCCGGGCGCTCTCCTACGCCCTCCTGCTATAATAGCCGCTCTCTCGCGCTGGTCTCTCTACCGACCGTCGTCGTCATCGTCTCTCGTCTCGGTTGTCTCCCGTCTCTGTCCATCTGTCCCACATTCCGTGAGATAGAGAGAGAGAGAGAGAGAAAGAGAGGGACGGACGTACGCAGATAAAGGGAGGGAACAGGAGAGACAGAGAGAAGGAGAAAGAGAAGGAGAGAGTGAGAGTGAGAGAGAGGAGGGAAGAAAGGGCAAGCGCGAGAGAACGAGACAGAGAGGGAGAAAGAGAGAGGAACCGCGCCGTGGACGACTCCGACGGATTAGGGAATAGAATAGTCATTATCGTGTATACATCCGTATTCTACGAGCTATCGGTCGCGCTCGTTGGAAGAGTCGGTCGTCGGTGGTGTGGCGAGACGCCGTGTGGCGGGCGCCGGTTTCAGTGGTGTGCGCGGTACCGAGAGATCCAACGACCTAGCCCGTCTCTTTTCTGACATTGGAGAGCGCCGGCAGAGTATTACGCGTCGGGCCACGGTGTGTGTTGGAGTGCGAGTTCGGGGGCTTCGCCTGGATTAATCGGGCTCAAGACGAGGAATATCGACGCGGGAGCAGCGGCGCCGGCAATTACGAGCGGTACTCGTGGGTGAGTACAACATCTCTACCCGCTATTTCCAGGAGAGACCGGAGTTGGAAGCATACCGTTGTATCGTGGCATCCTCGGCGATTGTCACAGTCACAGAGAAGTGGTGGCAGGCTATTTCGACAAACGCGTCTCGGCTGATCGAGGGTCAATTCATGAAGGAAACGTCCGAGTATCTCTCTCGTCGCCTCGTCATTTTAATGTCACTTTCGTTTGGCGATGCTCTTTGTATTTTTGTCATTCTGTCATCTGTCATATCGTGAATCGTCTGACCTACATTCTTCACGTGTATCGTAGATATACGCGAGGATATCGTTCACCATTCGCACAACTTGATGCTCCGATTACTCGGCATTAATCAATAAAATCGCATCTTCTAGTTGGATAACCGAGAGATTGACCTAATTTTGTCGCCACGAATTTTGATAAGCGTGCCTTTAGTAAGATGAGATAACATCGATTGTATTCTTAACTTGTCATCAGCCTTCAAGACTGTAATCTAGATATGGAAAGTTAAATTTGAACCTTCGAGTTTATTACCATTTATATTTGGTCCCAATTTCTGCCTTATTTACATCATCATAATCTTTTGTTAAAAAGTTTCTATACTTGTGTATTACGGACCGAAATGAAAGCTGCCTTGTAATGATATAACTGAATATATATATATATATATATATATTTATCTGTTAACTCTCACTAATTTCTCTAATAATCATTAAATTATAAGCTTTTATGTAGATAACGATCGAGTATGTCGATTATCATTGTTGATGCCGCTTCATCGCGAATCATAACGACATTTCTATCGATCGAACGACTCGTTTCGTAACAGCCGCAAGGCTTCCTCTACATTCGTACAATAGTTGAGAATTAATAATTATTATGGTTGTCAAACTGCACAAGAGTATTATGACGGTCGAGTTTTGCCTATGCAAATATTCGAAACGACATGATAAAATATTTTATTCGAGAAAGGTAAAGATAGTCGAAAATCTCGTGTCAATTATACATATATAAAGTACACTTACACAGCGATAAATAAATTCACACGAGCACGATTAATAATTGAGGGTTTACATTTCTCAATGAAAATGCCATCTTTCTTACTAAATAATCATGATTAATAATCATTCTCGACTCTATGTTGGGTTCTCTCGTACAACCGAATTCGACCACGTACGCCACGGTTTTTATGATTTCTGCGGATTGCGGATATCCTCTGCGATTACTTCCCGCGGTAAACGGAAAAAAAAAGAGATAGAGAGAATCCCGGCCGAGCGAATCAACCGAATTCGGACGCTGCGGTGCGCGAATACCTCGAAAACGCCGACATTTAATCGGCGAGGCGTACATGGAAGCTTTCATCCGGCCAAAGAGAGAATGTATAAATTCGCGGACGAACTTGTTTCGAAATAACCGTGCGAAATTCCGCACAGCGAGGGGAATTTCGCGAGTGTGCGGTGGGGAAAAAGTGTGCACGGACCCACGAAATACGCGACGTTAACATTTACGCGCGAAAAGGAATATACCGTATTCGCCGGGAGGGGTTATTAATTGAATCCGCAACCCGGGATTATTAGCTGATGTAAAATGCGCTAAAAAAAAAAAAGATTTAGCCGTTAGAAACAAAGTCCGCCCTCTCACATTTTGCACGGTTAACAATTTTGCACCAATCACAATGCTGTATTTTTTTATGAAAAAGAAGAGAAATTATCTGTTGTTCCGAGAATGGCCAAGCCGATGAAAATTCCGAGCTTTTTCAGAATAAAACAAGACACATCATCGGCGCAGAGATTGAAATCGACATTCTCTCATCTCTATGAGAGAATTTGTTAAGCTCTTCTACATAAACATAAACAATTGACTCGGTAAATCCGATTTTATCAGCAGTTTATCTCGCTAGAATGATCACATGCCTCTGTGACATTGATTATTGTACAAAAATAAACATACCCTATGGGCTTATATCTGCCTTACTTTTAACATTACTATCGATGCTATCCGTAATGTATCGAAATGTAATGTAATCGAAAACTATTATGAGTTATTTGTCAATTTAATTAAGATTATAATAATCAAAAAGAGAGAGAGGGA